CTCACCTGGCCATGCTGGCCACTTTCGTGGAGGAAGCTGCCCAGTGTGCGGTGCAGATCGGGAACGGGGGGCCAGAACTTCTGCTTCACGTTGCTGGGTGCGGGGCAGGGGACGTCGAAGGTAAACCCTAGTTCTGAGGTGCCCTGATGCCCGCGGGCAGGGTGCCCAGGCCGGGTGCTGAACTCCCCCCACCTGTCCTAGGCATAGCCCTTACCTGTAGAGAGAGGGGAAGGTGCACCGCAGCCCCAGAAGTACTCCTGTGAAGAGCAGCGGCACCACCATAACACTCGGAATGATCCAGCCTGCATCAGATGACGAACACCGGGACTGTAGCCCTCCCCAGACTGGCCACCACTGAGCCCTTCTCAGCCCTTGTCACCTTCTGCCTGGTGCTCCCATCCCATTTCTAACACTCTCAGTCTCCTGCCCTTGGCTGTGTGGCTCCTGGCCACAGCCTCTGCTCCTGCCCTGTCCCTTGCCTGCATCAGCCATCATGTCAACCACGACAGGTTTGGACCAGGTGCTCCAGCTCCCCTGGTACCATGGCCCACTGGGCTGGGCCCGCACTTGGGCGTGGTAGCGGGCACCTGGAGGTAGGTTCAGGACTTCCTTCCTGGCTGCCCGCGGGACCTGCAGGACCTGTGGGACAGAGCTGAGCTGGAGACAACCGCTGCTATGGGGCAGCCCAACAGCAGTGCTTGGGTGTACATCCATCCTGCCTGACCCCATGTGGGCCATGTGCCGGCAGCAGAGGTGGGCAGGGCTGCTTGGGGGAGCCTTACCTTCCAGTCATGGCTGTTCTCCACAGCATAGCGGACCTGGTAGTCCAGCTGCTCTGCCAGTTCGCCAGCCACTGCAGGCTCAGCCGGCCCTGTGACACCGTTGCCTGCATGAGCTGTGGGGCATCTGTGAGGACTGTTTGGAACGGGAATGTGTCACTGCCATGGAACAGCACACAGGACACTGTGTCCCCATCAGCCAGGCATGGGCAAGGGCAGGGGCCACAGTGGTGCTGCAGCTCACCAGCCTGATGCAGCCAGAAGGGCTCCTTGAAGTAGCTGAGCGTGGCCGATGCATGGGGTAGGGTGATGTTTACCAGGACAGAGATGGCGCTGCCAGCCCTGGGCTGGAAGGTGCAGGAGTGGGTGCCCCGCAGCCCCACACTCACCTCCTCACACTGATGCCATGTGTCTTCCCTGCGCAAGGGTGGTGCTGCAGCTCACCAGCCTGATGCAGCCAGAAGGGCTCCTTGAAGTAGCTGAGCGTGGCCGATGCATGGGGTAGGGTGATGTTTACCAGGACAGAGATGGCGCTGCCAGCCCTGGGCTGGAAGGTGCAGGAGTGGGTGCCCCGCAGCCCCACACTCACCTCCTCACACTGATGCCATGTGTCTTCCCTGCGCAAGGAGCAGGGAGCCAGTCAGCCCTGCTGTGGCAGGCCCACCAGCCTTTCCTGCTTAGCCCCACATGCCTTGCCTGCTGCCAGCCCCACATGCCTTGCCTGCTGCCAGCCCTGCTCTGGGGCCACCCTGTCCCCACAGCCAGAGCTGCCTCGCTCCTCCTGTGCTTGCTCACGAAAGCCAGCACTGTCCATAGTTGGAGGAGCAGTGTGGCTGGCAGTGGTGGTGGGGCAGTGTGAGGTTAATGGTGTAGGGTAGGCACAGGTGGCACAGTGGGGTGTGGGACATTGAGCAGGGGTGGTGGTCCCTGGGATGTGCTGCCCCTCTGCCTGAGTGCCATGTCCCCACCATGCCCCTTACCTTGTGCTGGCCCTGCTTGGAGGTGGCCGGTAGAAGAGCTGGTGGGAGCCGTGGGGCTCTGCAGAGTCCCAGCTCCATTCGCAGCGCACGTGCTGCAGGTCAGGGGTGCTGCAGCACAGCCCGATATCTCCTGGGCAGGCAAGAGCCAGAGCAGGGAGGGGGCTACTTTCCCTGGCCACCCAAAACCTGGGTGCTGCACCTTGCTACCCCAGGACCCCCATCCCTCGCAGCCCCAGGCATGGGTGCCTCCCTGCTGTGCCTGCCAGCACCCTGGAGGTGGGGATGACCACTCACCAGAGGAATGGGGTGTCTCTGCAGCCACCGCCTGTGACCAGGGCCCCCAGACGCCATCCATGGAGATGCCATCGGGCTTACTGCGCACGTGGATGTGGTACCTCACCCCTGGCTGCAGGTCCCGGAGGACTACCCAGGTGTTGGTCTGGACCAGCCCCTGCAGGAGAGAGGCCAGGCTGGAGAGCAGATGTGGCCCTCAAATCCCCCTGCCCATTCCTGGCCCTTCTATGTACCTGCCCCACTCTCAGGGAAGCTGCAGCTGCCCTGGCTGTGGGTGCATTGGTGCTGACAGCTGGCTGGCTGGAGGGGTCCCTGGGGCGCTGCCCACTGGGGTCCGACACGGTGCTGCAGGGCATCTCTGGGGAGCTGGCAGGGCAGCACTGCACCTCGTAGAGGAAGAAGTTCAGGTAGTCGGTGAGTGGTGGCTGCCCCGACACGCAGAGCTGCCCCACAGCCCCAGCCCAGCGGGCTGTAATGTTCGCTGGGGGGGCGATGAGACCTGTGGGGAATATGACAGGGCGTTTTTCCTCCTGCTGCAGCCCTCCTTTAGGCACCCCCTGGTCCTGCCGAGGCACATCCAGCGGTCCCTCCAGGGCTGCCTTCATGTCCAGCGTGCAGGGCGCAGGGTACTGCCAGCCCCCGCGGGAGGCAGAAGAGCAGGGGCCCAGGCCTGGGAACCATCCTGGTGTCACAGTGGTATTGCCTGGTGGGAGGGACTCACCCACCGCGTCTACGCTGAGTTCCCGCCAGTACTTGGTCTGATTGGTGGTGGCATCCAGGACGCGGAGGTGGAGCTGGATGAAGAGCCGCACATCCTGGCCAGGGAAGACGCAGGCGTGCCGCGTCCCGCCGGCCCCATGGCGCCACGTAGAGACCGTGCACGCTGTGGGCACGTCCCTGAGGGACGGAGAGCAGGGTCCTGCAGCACCCCATGCCTTCTGCCCGGGGCCAGGCTGGAGGAGAGGGGACCTGGGGCATGGCACTGAGACTTCGGTGTCACCAGCTCCTTCCCTGTGCCCCCATCTGCTTCAGGGCACCATCCCCATGGGACTGATGGACAGCCAAGGTCCCAGCCCTGCCACAGGATGTGTGGTGACTCCCGTGGGCTCTCCACCATCTCTCCTTGCAGCTGGGAGCCACCAGGATGGCATGGAAAGCTGCGGCCCCCAACTCTGCTGCTCTCTGTGCAGGCAAGGGGGAGGCTGGGCTGTGTTCCCACCACCACCTACCTGCTGTACCAGTAGTAGAAGTGGCCCTTCCCACTTGCTGCCTCCTTCTCATTCTCATCCCAGAAGCAGGTGAGGTCCTCGAAAGAGCGGGAGAAGCAGCGGATGTCCTCGGGCACCTCTGCCAGCAGTGCAGCATCTGGGAGGAGTGTGGGTATGAAAGAGCCCCCAGGCACAAACCTGTACCCATCCCACCTGCATCACCCTGCCCCATGGCCGCTGGCTTGCCTGTGAGGCCAGTCTGTGCAGGCACTTGGGACAGTGTGGGCATGGCTGTGGACATGGCTGTGGCACAGGTGCCCTCCACCAGCTTCACATGCCAGGGAGCAACATGGCACATGTGCTGCTGGCTGC